ACATCTGGTGAAAATTTCATGTCATTAGCACCTCTAGTAATATATTTACTGAGAAAAATGTGTACGTGTTTAATACTTATTTTACCCGCTCCATCTATCTACTCATCTACCTACCCTTCTTTATTAACTTATTGACCATTATTTAACCAGGAAAATCCCCCTAAGATCACATATCTCTTTTGCAAGGAAGGCCTGAGTGTGAAGGCAACCTATTGTACATGTTTTTTGCCTGAACCCTGTAGAAAACCCACAAAAGCACAAAYAGAGCATACAAACTCCACACAGAAAGGCCACAGGTCCAAGATGGGGATCAAATCAGGACCTTCTTGCTGTGAGGCATCAGWGCTAACCACTGAGCCATCTATCTACCATCGATCTGTTTGTCCAGATTGCTGCACAGTTGGGTGACAGCTGATGTTATTTCCACTGACATTTAGTCACTGTGCTAATCTTTACTGGAGAAACACAATCAMAAAGTCGATTTACCCCAAACTTTATCCAATACCTGACTCAGTCAATGAATTTTACATGAAGTCACCTTCTTCGTGTTTCTGTGGTGCTGTACGTCGTTAATATTCTCATCCCTATATGCTGCTCCGAGTCAGATTGTATACGCCTGTTTTTTTTTCTTCTGTACTTTTCATGAAGAGCTAAAGTTCAATCGCAGCCCCCTTCTCTCCCACCAATCCAAGCCTGTAAACACCCCCCACTGCTCATAACTGGACTACAGCATCCCACTATCACCGCTGCCTCTCCTTCCTTCCCTGCTCACTCAATAAAGTGAGAATCAGAGGTGTGCCATTGTGAATTCAGGCGAGTGCGCGCCCTCCCAAAAACAAACTGAGACCCATTTGTATGCAGCTCAACCGAGAAGACTACATTTTCAATAGGGTACAAATGAGCTGCTCCCTGATGTATTGCTGTTCGTGTAAAGCTGCAGCCTTGCCCGAGCCTGGTTGCGTATTATAAAATCAAGCCCTTAGGAAGGTGCGTGTTGTGAGCAATGAAATGCCTGAAAAGTACAGAGAAGGTTTGAGGCGATTCGGTGCAGGGGTGATTCACAATTACAAACAGACGATCCTCAAAGAACTTTCAGCATCCCTCTGAAGTAGGATTAGAAGTTTTCACATTCTGGCAGCAACTTTCAGCCTGGGCATTTTGTCCACATCAAAGAAACTATTGGTTTGTAGGAGATATGGCCTACAGCAGCAAAGAAATAAAAAAAAGCTTCATCATAATGTCAGGAGTGCACAAGTCCAAATCTAATTTCTATCAGAGCTCCAAAGTTCCAAAATACTTCCACAGTCTCGATGCCCTTGTCAAACACAACCAGACTAATGATGACGGTACAATTCAGTCAATAGCAGCTCTGCTTTCAGTGCAAAGAGCAAAAACTTTCTGGGTTGAGCTAARCTGTGCGCGAGGGACAGTGGATTTAAAGATTTATACTACAAAGTACTTCRTTGCAAAAGCACAAAGCACACTGGAGCAAACTACAACAGGCTGCATGTTTAAATTCAAATGACGAACCGGCTGAGTGAGCTACTTAGACGTGTGCTCAGTGRCAGGATTAGCTGTAACTCTTCCAAACCAGAGCAACCTCTTACAGAAACAAAACACACACATATTTATACACGACTTGCAGTGTAGAAGTGTTTATTTTGGGGTTGCAGATCAAGATCAAGAAGCACTGCTTGAGAGTAAAGCTCTTCTGTGTCAATTAAAGCTGATTTCAATAGAAAACAACTGTTTGTTTCTTTCATTTTCTTTGCATGGACCATTGATTATAATTATTACCTGCTCACCAGAGTAATCACTGAAAACCTTTGGGAACACTCCTTTTAATAGCAAAAAGTCTCGAGCAGTCACATCAGCTCCAACTTTATTTGGTGAAAATGGTGAATGTGTCTGTAACGATGCAATCGCGCCTAATGCTTATGTAGAGGCAAACTGTGAGGGCAATCAGCTACGACACGGACTGGAAACCCAGGCCAAATCAGAAAGTCTGCGGCGAGCCTGCGGCCGATGTTAATAACAGGACTGGGCTGTAATTTTACTCTTCAGTTTTGTTTTCGATTCCTGACAAATTGGACTAATCTGTTTACAACCTGCTTCAAGCTTGTTGCAATATTTTACTAATTCTCTGTACGTTAAAACTTGCTTCATTGAGAATAATTTTGGCACAAAGAAAAATRGACCCAGAAAGAAGTCATTTTTGGTTGGTCACAAGAACAACTTCAGATTATTGATGCAGACTCTTACGCTCCCGTTATATTTATTACATGAAAACAAATTTGTGACATCAATTTTCATGCTAGATAAAATATAAATTTGGATACCACTACAGAGTGAACGGTGTTCTGTCAGGCTCTGCTTAATCCTGAGTCCTCTGACTGATTTTATTCCCTATAAGCTCCATAATTGGAAACCAATGCATCTAGTCAGGCTCTGACAGAGTGGCTAAATGGAAAATCGTCACCTCTAGAGAATTGGAGTGTTGTAACGGCATTGTTCCACCGGTGGACCATTAATTGTGTGTACCTCACACACATTGTTCTGCAGCCACAGGCACACCCCCTCCTCCTGCCTCTCAAGCCCCCYCTAGAGTCGGTGCACTCACCTCCCAGCTCCTCAGTGGAGAGGCTGGTGAGCTGGAAGGCTTCGCTGCCCTCGGTCAGGGAGCTGCTCAGGTAGTTGTCCGGATAGAGCAGGCCTGCCCGCACATGGTGGAATGGCATCTTCTCCCTGCGAGGCAGAAACACACACGGGTTACTAACATTTTCTGTTTTTTTGTTTTGTTTTGTTTTTTTGTGGAAGAGGAAAAACTAAATCACGTTTGAAAAGAAGAGGAAAATTTGTTATTGCTTCCCCCCTGTAAACTAGAGAAAATGATTTTGATTTCCATTTGTGATGTACAATATCACYGATTTCTTTACCAGTTCTGTAACACTTAGTGATTCCAATCTGTTACTGATACTCAAATACACCTAATGTGTCCAGTAAATAAAAAAGTAGTTTAAATTAACACTTCATAAAGAATAAAAGACACAAGAATACTTTATTTATTCATTTTGAACTAATGGTGTAGAATCCTCATTTACACAATATCCAAGCTGTCACAACAGAAAAACCAGAGAACACAATCATACAAAATGTGTGAAAAAGGTGATTAAATTAATTAAATAATTAAGTAAAATAAGATAACTATAAATTAAATTATTGTTTAATTTTCAAGAACACTAACTACTACTTTCAAGAACATGCAGCACTTCTGCTGCGCTTATTTGTTACCCAGGCACAAGCAAAAATAGTTCCCTCAAAGCGCACAGGATTTAGACAATTTCAATAAATTTGTTGATTTCCACTGTGTTCCTGGTAATAACAAGCTTTACCTAATATGAATGAAAAATCAAAGTATTGATATTTGGATTTTAATATTGATAACGGTGGTGCTGATATTTCAGTATCTGCACACCACCAGGTGCCAGTCTGCACATATATTTAATCCACATTGTCACTTTACATTTGAACCTCTAATATTATATATTTTTTCTTTTAAAATTACTTTACAAAAATCTTTTTTTTTTTCATTTGTGTCAGACTGAAAACTAAACAAGTTCTCTCTGACAGAAGAGGTTTTGTTTTTGAATGGAGAATTTCCTAGTAAAACTAATTAAATTGATAAGGTTAAACTGTTRGAGCTGYTTTGGTCAAACCTTGAATGTTGTGCACAATCTTACTCCGAGTCTTGTGAATGACTCAGAAACAACCACGTTATTTTATCTCAATATAAAACTAAGCTGTAGTAGTGTTTGTGCTAATTTCTCTTGATTAGCTGTCTTAAAGTGTGATGATAAGTGCAAAGTTATTAAAACCTTTAGACATTTTATTAACAGACAAAAAGGGTTGACCCAACAATTAATGCTAAAGTTTTAAGGTAAGATTGGGAGCATTGGGTAACAGATGGAGTATGTTTTGCCAAAGACTCTTATCTATTACCTCAACAAATTTTAGCCTGACATCAATAAAACTGACAGAGTTAAAGGCATTTTAGTGTTTTCTAAAGTCAGCTGTTTATTGGGCATCCTWAACGGGATTGACTTCAACTGTTGATCAAGTAAACAAAGTCATTATTTCCTAAAGGTTTCATTAAAATCCATTGAATGTTTCCGATATTATGCTAAGACCATCTTGACTCTAAATAGCTAATGGCTGATTTTAAAACAAAGGTCTTGTCCAAACTGTTAGAGCTCAAAATATGTTTTAYAAATGAGTCTCGGCTACTACCACACCAAGTTTCAGCTCAGTATCTGTAAAACTGACTCAGTCAAAGCCATGTAAACAGTTGTAGAGTTTTGTTTAAACTCTGTGGTTCATGAGGGTTTTTTGTTAACAAAAACACAAACACAGTCAGGTACACTGTTGTCAGCCATCGTCATGTCACAGCAGGCCATGATAAATAAATMAATCAGTTTTGTAGCTTGGTGTTTGTAGACTTCAACCTTTTTTTTTTTAAAGGAAATACAAGCTCCTGTCAAAGAGCAATTTGTGTTTCCACACTGCTATAATTCATCTGTCTACTGTGCTCAATCACTGTAGAAAATTATGCAATCACATTAATATTCAGTGGAATCACAAAAATATTCCTCCACAAAAATAGTTCTCAGCACCACCAACAGAGCTCAATGACGATCTCGTTTTCTGCATTTTCTTTTTTCCTTCTGCCTTCTGTTCTCCGCTGATCAGAAAGTCAAGTCAGCTGTTGTGTCTTCTAACCTCCCCTGTCAGATCAGCTGACTCCCCTCCACCCTCCCACCCCCCATCGCATCACCCCCGGGACAATCATCACTGTCACCAGACTCCTCAATAAAAGACCTCAGACCCCGACAAAGTATCAATCAGCCACGACCCCTGCTGYTGCACGATCAGAGCGATCCTATGCTCTGATTTGTGAGAGCTGTCCCACAGAGGGCTCTTTCTGTGTAAAGTTTTGACTTTTTTTCAATGCTGAGCTGAGCTGAAGAGTAGCAAAAAATAAAATAAAATAAAAATGGTAGGCTGAGTGGGAGGAATTTATAGAAATCCCAAAAGAGTTTTCCCTTTTGTGACCAGACAGCTGCCTGTGGAGATAGGGAGAGAGGCTGCGTTCTTGTAAAAAGAAAAAAAGGCTGGAATATGAACAGATTCTCTCTGCTTTCGGAGGAGATCTTGACCTGAATCCGTGGCRGATCTTGGAATCAGAGCGGAGGGAGGGGAAAGGACGCAGAGACGATAAAAAATGGAGGATTGTCTGCTCTGATGATCTGTGGCACCAGGTGTGAAAACTGAGTGTCTGAATGAGACAATGACAGACAGTGATGTGCTGACGACCTGTGAGCCCTGAGGAAATCTGCTCTTCAGTCCATCTGCTCCTGAGTCTGCTCCTGCCTCAGCCGTGCGTTAAAGCCACTCAGGTAGCCTAAAAGATGGAAGTCTCCGCCAGCAAGACACAAACACTTTGARCAAAACCTAATTTGTTTTATACTCTATCACATCCATTATTTGCATTTATGACAGGCCKCTCAAAGCAGAAATGAGTGGCAGTGGTTGAGTGGTGGGAAAGTAGCTGGGAGGGGGGTTAATAATGAATGAGTGAATTTAAATGATTATGATTTATCAAAAGAAAACCAGACTCCAGTGTCCAAGTGTTATTGTACTGACCTTTGTCCTACTAAAACAAAACTGTGGTCATCTTTTATTCATTGCCTTTAAAATCACAGCAAAACCTGAACAGGTGAGTTTTGACTCTCAGGAAATGTTTTTTTCTTGTTCACAAAGAAACAAAATACAATCAAACTAATTTGATTCAGTCTATTGATGCTTGTTTACAATAAGTCGAYAAAGTCAAAATTAAAGAGAAATGTTTAAAAGTTTATTTTAAAAGCAGTCTTATTCGATGCAAATTTATCCCAGTTTAATCCAGTTTTTTGTGTGAATTCTGGATACTTTCTGCTGTTATACAGTGGGGAGAGCAAGTATTTGATACACTGTTGATTTTTCAGGTTTTCCCACTTGCAAAGCTTGTAGATGACTGTAATTTTTATCATAGGTACTCTTCAACTGTGAGTGATGGAATCTAAAACAAAAATCCAGAAAAATTGATCTTTGCTCATTGATCTTGAGGAAGGTGAGGAATGAGCCCAGAAC